TTGGATTTCCACAAGTTATTTTTTTAAATGTATAAAGCAACTGAGAAGATTCCTACCGACATTTAGTTATTGATATTAGGGTTTTGAGGGGTGCAGATTTAGAGAGCATTAAAAGTCACAGATAAGTCTAGTTCCCTGCTTAAAACTGAGAGCAGCAGCAGCAAAGTTGCTTTGTATTTGCCCTTCTAGCTCTTGAAAAGTAATTTTCAGAGCTCTTCCATCCTCTCGTGGTGGGATAATAAAATGGAATCATGACTTTGCTTCCTCTCCCTCATAACATTTATAGTTTAGTTGACCCTCAAATGCTGCTTGTGGAGAAGGTTTTTTGGGTTTTGGTGTCTTTTTTAAAATGTTATTAATGACAGTAAGAAGGAAAAATTTTTGGCACAGAAACTGAAAGGATCTTTTCTTACTAGTCCTCAATGTAACCGAATAATCAAAGTCACAGAAAAGGAAGATTTTCCTCTGCTGTAAAACTGTCATTTATGACACCTGGGCCAAAATTCGACTGTCATTTAATCCAAGCTGGCATTAAAATATATTGCGTAGAGAGGAAAAGCAGACACTAGCAAGAGTTAATTCTTGAAACCTATAGCTCCTATAATATGTCATGCTAACACATATAACAAATTTGCACACTTGACTGGACACTTTCTGGTGGCTAACAGAATCTAACACCCTTTTTTCTTTGTCTGATTCATTGCTATTAGACCGGTTAGTTCATGTGTCTTTGTGCACACTCACAAATCCTCAATACTTTTTTTCCTCTTTCTAGGAAAATTCTTATTTATTTGCTATAATTTTCAGTATATATCTTATCATTTTTAAAAAAACACTTGTAAAAAAGGTTGTCTAATGAAAAAGACAACTAGTTTTCACTGCTATTTAGTCATAGTTTAAAGGGTAGAAATTTTAAAAAGGGAAGACTGAGGACCTTTTTCAGGGGATAGATTTCTATGATCTTTATATTACTACTTGAATGTGGTTGAGTAACATCATTGAAACTATTTAAAATATTCAAGTTAAGTGAGGTACAAGACTAAAACTCTAGCAAAACTGTTCTATATATATTTGTTCAATCCAGTGAGTGACTCTCTGTTTGAGTAAAGACTAAGGAAGATTCCCAAAATTTGGTGCCAGAACTGTGAAGAAAATGAAAATGAAATGCATATTATCAATGTGGCATGGTGACTAGAAGTATAATAAGCAAAATTTTACAAAAATAATATAGACTTTTAGACTATGTATTTTAGAAAAACATACTTCTTTTTCAGTTTTTACACTAGTATGTAAAATACTCAGGGTGAATTGTGGCCTTCATAAAATAATCCAGTGGATAATCTAGAGGGTTTCAACTGATTTGTATGAAATCATTCTACAAAGAAAAGTTTATTTTTAATTTTACATATACTTTTGCTATTATTTAGGTAGCAGCAAAAGTAATAATCGTGTTTACTTCTGTGAATTGCAAATACTGTGTCTCATAATCAAGGACTTGTACCTAAACTCTTGATGGAAATTGACTTTGTAAGTTAATGCAATCTCTTCCTTAGAATTCTTATAGAGGCTTGTAATTCAGCTTAGAATTCTTCTTCTTTTCTCCCCCCTCCCCCATCATTTCTTAGACAATAAAGAAATAGTCCTTGGTATTGAAAGGGAAATGTTAACATCATTTGCCATTAGTCAGAAGTGTAACTTCATTAAAGCAGAAGGCCATATAATCCCTACAGGAGCTCTCTGCAGGAAATACTTTATTCTTACTTAGCATATCTGTGAATTCTATCAGCATTAGTGTCTTTCACAATGTTTGTTTCTCTTGAATATTTATGAAGGACTGTCCAGTGACCCTGCTTAGCATCTCCAGGTTTGTTCTGCCTTAACAATCTCCCAAGTAGAGTGCAATCAGAAGACTTATTCTCTGAGCAATCAATATGGCAGAGGCCAAGGAAATGTCTGCAGAAAAGAGATTTCTATCAATGAAATGGAAGAAAGGAAACAAAATATAGGACTGGACTATAACTCACAAAAAACAAACCACCAAAACCCAAACACCTAAGTGACAACACTATCTCCTTTGTTAATCTTTGTGTAATCAGATCACTACATTATAATGTTCACCACAAAAACTCTCCACAGAAAAAAGAGGTAGTACATTTTATAACAAATTTGGAGAGCTTTGAGATCAGAGAAACAATGTTCCTTCATGACTTATTGATACATTTTAATTAATAATTTAAAAGTTTGTATTAATTCAACCAGGATCAGAATGTTTGGGGTTTTTAGCTCTTTTTTTGGCATATGTATTTTTAACTGTATTGTTGGAACCGTTCATTAAACTTAAGCACTCAGTCACTGCTAAGTTATGGGTTTTGTTATCCTCATGAAAATTATGTCCTTAATTCCCAATAATATGTAGATGTCCCAGACAGTGGTTTAGAATGTTGATGTAACACTAAACTACATATAACACTGTTGATATAACACTGCCATCTCATTGACTTTATAATCGTCTCACCGTCCATAGATTTTTTTTTTCCCTTGCAATTAATAGCATATTTTGTTACCTTGAGAGGTTTTTTGCTTTGAATTCCCCTGGAAGATTCGACACTCACCCGTTTGATTGTACATTTTTATTATTGTTGTTTGCTTTTAACTCTCACCATGAGGAACTATTCCCACCATTATATATAAACCCTCCCTAGATCACAAAAACTAATAGATAAATTGAAGATAATTATCAGATATTTGAAGATAACTCCTTTATGTCATGATGTATCTATCACTTCACCAACTGATCATATTATTAGCATCAGATTTTCCAATAAAAGTGCATTTTATATAATTCCCATTATTATTATTTTTTCTTTGTTTTCACAAATGGCAGAATTACCGAATTGGTCAGGTTGGAAGGGATCATAGTGGGTCATCTGGTCCACTCTCCCAGCTCAAGCAGGGTCATCTTAGTGCACACTGCACAGGATTGCATCCAGATAGTCCTTGAATATGTCCAGTCCAGTGAGGGAGACTCCACAACCTCCCTGGGAAATCTGTTGCAGTGTGTGGCCACCCACACAATAAAAAAATTCTTCCTCATGTTCAGGTAGAACATCCTTTTTCTAGTCTCTTCCTTGCTCCTGTTCCTTGTTCTATTGTTTGACACTCCCAATAAGAGCCTGGCTCCATCCTCTTGACACACTCCCTTCTGCTACTTAAACACAATGATGAGGCCCCCTCTCTGTCATCTCTTCTCAAGGCTGAACAGGCCCAGGTCCCTCAGCCTTTCCTTATAAGAGAGATTCTCCAGACCACTGATCAACTAAGCACTTCTCCACTGGACCTGCTCCTGGACCTCCATGCCTTTTTTGTACTGAGGAGTTCAGAACTGGACACAGCACTCCAAATGTGGCCTTATCAGGGTTGAGTAGAAGGGCATGATCATGTCCCTCAACCTGAGGTGAGGATGATGGGCCAGTAGTTCCCTGGGTCCTCTTTCTTGACTTTTTTGAAGGCTGAAGTGACATTTTCTTTCTTCAACTCCTCAGACATCTCTTCTGATCTCCATGATCTCTCAAATATGATCGTGAGAGGTCTAGTTGTGATGTTCACCAGCTCTCTGGGCACTCATGACACCAGGGCCAGGGTCACTGTCAGGGCCAATTTTGCAGATTAACTCTTTGGAAAACAGAACAAAATTCTTCCAGAAAATATTTTGTTGTGTAAAGAATAGCTAGCAGCACCTTGGACCATAGTCTAAAACTTTTGGAAACTAAAAACAACAGTTGAAAATTTTTTCATGTTACATGTCTAAGGTTACTCATATGAGCAGGAAAGACAAACCAAATTTAGGATATCACAGAGTATGGATGCATCTAACAAGAAAAATAAGGAGATGGACAACTTTATTAGAAAACTAATGTATTCCTTTCAATTTCCTAGAAGAGAATAAAGATCAAGTTAAAATACACTACTTCTTTATACTGTACTCTTTATAATTCCAAGCCCCATTCTGATCTCAATTTAGTTAAAATTTTTTTGAATGGAATTATTTTTAAGGTGACAAACAGTTACATGCATTTATAAAATCAGAAGGCTAAAACAATAGGTTTTTGACCTAAAGCTGGGGAATATTATTAGATTTCAATCCAAATATACATGGGTGTGTGCAGGTTAAAAAAGAATGGGAGAATTAGCAAATGCATGAGAGTGAGAATTTTGCCTGAGAAATCTGGATAACATAGAAAGCTCCAAGTGAGAGCTAAGGAAACTTAGAATTGAGATTAAAGTGGTTTTCTGCAGTTTGACTTTTGTTTTATTCAGAGACAAAAAAGTTTGGTATTCTTTGAAAACAGACACAGTTTTGACAGAAATAGCCCTGGTCTTTTCTTTTATTCTCCTAAGCATATTAGTTGGTAATTTTTTCTTACACATTTGGACTAAGGTGCTTTTTTTTCTGAAAACAGAACCTATATGTACCACTCTGTAATAGTATATTCTATATTTTATGATGATATATTTTATAATGACATAATAAATATAATTTTAATATAATAAAATCAAGCTTTTAGACTGATATAAATTAATGAAATAAACCAATTCTGATTTATTTAAAATGTAAAGGATTGTATACTATTTTGAGGGGGGGGGAAAATTTGACTCTTCATGACTACACTCTTGTGATGGTTCGGACTTGGCTCCCTGCCAAATGCCCGCACCCCCAGTAGCAACCCCCGCCCCTTCCCCTTTCCTTCTTCCCCCAGGGCAAAGGAAAAAAACTATGCAAATTGAAGAACCCCAAAATCAAGCTAGTTATATAAAAATATATATATTTGATGTATATTACAGTTAAGATGCTATGTACACAGCAAAAAGGAATCCAAACGCCCCCCCGAAGGGATAGGGAAAGGGGAAAAGGAACAAAAGGAGACAAAAAAAGGGACACCGAGCAGATATATGCAATCAAACCTGAGAACTAGTAAAATAACTAGTAAAACAAATCTCACCACGTCCCTTGGAAAAGCAGGATTGGCAGACACAGCCAGCACTCTCCGAACCCCCACGTGGCAGGCCAGTGGTCGCTGCAGGCCTCGGCCTTAGATAAGCGAGACCAACGCAAGGACCCACTGTTCCCGAACCTCGCCAGAAGAGAAGAGAGTGAAGACCTCTCCTCCCTTCTTATTTATACCCTGATTTACATAAAAATCGTATGGAATACTGGGAACACTGCCTCTTCCTTGGTTACAAACTGGTAACCAAGGAAGGCCTAGATTAAACCCACCACAGCTCTGTAAGACTTTTTTTTCTGTAACACCCAAAGGACTTAGCATAGAGTTTCAAAATTTCCTTAAGCTGTTGGTCTGTCCTACCACCCCTCAAAAATTTCTTTCTATATAAATCCTGAAAACTTTACGTGATGCTGCAGAACAGCCAACAAGTCATTTGAACAGAAGTCCACAATGCTCTTCACACCTTGGAGTGAAATTATCATTTGGGGTGACTGATTTTGTTTTGCTTGTTTACAAAGATGTACCCAGTCATGAAAAAAAATCACCCTTGTAGCATCTAGTTACAATTCTAACCACTATCCTTGTAGAACTTACAGTAATAGTAATATGATGAAGAGAAGGATGGCAGAAACTGGTAGATTGACTAATGTTTTTTTATTTTTAGATAACAAGTAAAAGATTTTGGGAGAAAGTGTCTACAAATGAAATCTTGCCTTCTCTAGAGCCTAAGCAATTACAAATATGACTTTTTTCCCTCAATCCTCTTGTCATAGTAGGGGGTAATTTATTTTTTTAAAAACAGATGAGCTAGTTAAAATTTTCTTCCATATTATGGGAATCTTGGATTCAGCTCTTTTTCTGCCTTTTCTGGCATCTGTCACGAATATGCCATTTTCTTCAGAGGATTTTTTAATATATTGTGAAAAGTAAGAATGCACAAATTATATTAGTTGTATTCAGTCTAAAATATATTCCTATTATTTCAAATATTTCAAATAAATGTGAATAAGGGGATAGGCTATTTAGGAGAGATGAGCACTGATGGATGGTATCTGTAGAAGCACAGAAGAAGTGTTCAAACATAGGCAGTATCTACTAAATAGGTTATAAAATTTGCATTTATTCTCTACCTAGTGATTGTACTAATAAAATTATTAAAATTTCTAACAGAGGAGTTATGAGAATCACTTTTTTGTTTGTTTTTTGAGACTTCAGCATGTTAACTGAGGCACATTATCAGGAAGTTCTGCTGGAAACTTATGTGTTGTAAACTGAGGTAGAGATTAATGTTTCAGTTATTATGACAACATGAATATTGAACCCTGATCCATTATAAGAACTCTGAAATTATTTATTAGACTTAGTTGTCCAGGTGCTACATGGTTGGAGTATACAGCAGACAATGAGCTACCTGGCATAGGAAGGATATGGGACAAATTTTAGTATGAAAGTATTTAGTCATCAAAAATTTGCATAAAATTTTGATTTTAGTTCCTCAAATATTTTCACGTCTCTTCTCTAAAATGTGGTGAAGAATTAGCATAAAATTCCCTACAGTTAAATTAGTACATGGAAAAAACATATCTTTAATGATTGCTATTAGAAATAAAGAGGCTGTATTTTAGAATGACTTGATTTCAATTTATAAAAAAGACTCATAAGGTAACAACACTGTTTATTTACTTTGGAAGTGTCCAATATGATACCTAAATAAATACTCTTCACCACAAATATCACAACTCATATTTCATACAACATTAGGAAAAACTGTTTAAATATTAAAGGTTAAATAATAATATCAGAAATAGGCAGTATGGAAGAATGTTATACAGATTAAATCTAAGATAGTGTTCCAAATTACACCTTACACCTGAGCTGGGACTTGCCACTTCAGACATTTTACATTAGAAATACACTCCTATTTCATGATTTCTCATCAGCTGTGTACTAAGGCATGAAGTGCTCCACTTAATACCACAGCTTACACAAATAAAGATGTTTGATTTTGATGAATCCTGAGCTTGCTTTTTGATGAATACTATTGAGACAGCTCATTAAAAACTATGTTTTTTTCTCACTTTGGTCACATTACCATCCAGAACAAAGTCAGACTGCTCTGCAAGAAAAAAAAGTTATATAATGACTTGGATTTCACCTCTGCTTATTAAAGCAACATCAGAGCCATGTGCTATTTTTTAAAGAGGAGGATTGATGTAGTCATGACAGTCAATGCTGTTTTACAGATATTGTCAGAACTTTCCCTATATGCTTTTCTGTTAGCTGGGAGAGTTTCAGACAATCAGTAGTTTCTAAGACTACATCTGTATGCAAAATCCAAAGCAGTGATGGAATTGCCGATATCAACCATGAACCATCAGGCACGGGATCAGGAGAAGCAGTATAACCATGGAGATGGTGCTATGCCTAAACTCACAAACCCTGTAGCTCAGTACAATTAATGAGGCTATGTGGAGCTCTACACCATGTGGATATACTAGATAGTAGTAAGAAATTTTCTTAAAGCTTGCATGAATAATTTTGCTGCCTTACGTTGTTTGTGTACCCTGAATTCACAGTTATTTAAAACAGGAGTTTGGATAAACAAGATTTGTAATTTTTTATCCTCTTTCTTAATACAAATATCATCTGAAATTTCTAAATGTTTGTTAAAAGCCTTCACTGTCTGGCTGTGTTAATTCTCTGTTTCAGAGTTCTTTTTTACTAGGTTTATAGAGAAGGCCTAGGAGGTAGACCAATATAATTCCTCCTATTTAGAGTGTAACTGAGACAGAGACTTTGAGTGGCTTTTTTAAAAGCTGTAATAAAAGTGGACACAATACCTTAATCTCTTAGTTGCTGTGTCGCAACCTTAAAGAAAAAAAAAATTATCAGTGTATCAGTAAAACTATTCCTAAAATGTACAGGTACTAATTTCTCTCTTTTGTGGGCATTTGAGACTTTTTTTCCTTCTTTATAAAAGCATTAATAATGAATTAAAAACTTCAAAACCAGTCAGACACTAACTGTTCCACCTATGTTGTTGCTAATTCTGCTAGTGTGGAACGTAACACTAAAATAACCTTGGAGCTTATTTACTTAATTGAAAAACAGGTATTATTCCACTAGAAAAGTAAGTGAAAGAACTATCTTTACCTTTAACCAGCCACACTCAGCAAGGAAAGAAAGAATCAGTCTCACAATCTCATGTCAAAACAACTGTAAAATTATTGACTGATAGTTGATCCTATTTTTCAAGTCTAAATATGTGTGAAAATTTGTATACATTGCTTTATTCAAATTGGATATTCTGTTTTCTTTGAAAAGTTGAATATAGTGATCACTGCTGAGTTATTTTGGTTTTCAATATGTGACATGAAAAGAACCACAGAAGGTTGAAACATGAAGTGGTACTGTTGGTTCAATTTTGATTTGACACTGAATAAATAATTTCTTCAGTGGGACTGTTTTTCATAGACATTGCTGTAAATGTGATGCTTATGTTGGTCTGATTATATAACTTGCATCACTACAATGTCAGGAATTTGATCACCAAACACTTAACAAATGAAAGCTGTCCTTGGCAATGACTATTTTTAAGAATATAACTCAATATAGACAGGTATTGAAATGCCCAACACAGTTCCTGGAGAATTATAAATGCACTTGGGAAATAGGATAAGAAGGTGAGAATAGAACTTATCCTAGTCTGTTGTTCAGCTCCAAACATTTAATAAACAAGTATGTTTTTGAGAAAACAAAACAAAACAAAACAAAATTGAACCTTCATTCAAAATTTCTGTTTTCAACCAGAAATCGAAATGGTTGTTGGTAGCAGTTATCTGCTTGCAAGATGATTATGTTTGGAAAAAGGTAATTTATTGAAGATTTCACAAGAAAAGCTACTGTATGATCTACAAGTAAGTTTGACCTTTGATTTTGCAAATTGTTCAGATAACTGATGTTTATTTCACCTCCTTTAGTACAATAGCATATGTTGAGTTATGTTTCTATTAAGTACTTATATGACAATAAAACTGTCGTTCTCTTGTTTCCTTTCCATCCTAGGAAAAGACTGCGTTTACCATCTTGGCACAATTTGTTTGTTTCTTCTCTTGTTCATTTGTTTGCATAGGTACAACTGAAGATCGGTAGGTTATTACTTACAAAGTAAAATGAAAGAAAAAGGCTTTGAGATGAAAATAGCAAAGAAATAGTGGGCAAGTGAATTCACAGGTTTATTGCTGAATTCCCCTTTATGGAAAGATTCAGTACTCTCACAAGATTTCCTTTACAATATACTATTTTATTGTTCCAGTGGGAAGCAACCTAACACAGTATTATGGGCCACAGGAAGGCAAGATATCTAAAGCAGGTCAGTCACAGAGGACTTTGAATTGCTTTCTATAGTTAGTTAAGAGTAAGTGAAGGGTGACCTACATAGCTAAGAGAATTCTGGTGTTTATTTGAAGTAATTGGAGCTTTTCAGGGTATATGTCTCAGTTGCTAGAGGGAAGCTAAAATAATTAAGTCTAAATCTTGTGTCTAGATCTGTGTCCAAAAGCACAGACTACAGTAATCTCTCAAGAATGTAAGGGATAGATACTTCGTGTTTGTCTATTTTTATTACAATGCTTGATGCAGCTCCTGACAGAAATAAGGAAACCAAAAGGACCACAAGATTGTAAGCTAACTGAATAATGGATTATCGTGGAGAAGATAACCAGTTACCCGGCTATCATGTTGAATGTTAAGTTCTGAGAACACACCTTTATCTGAGGTTTTTGTTAACTTTGCAGATTTATAGTCCTTTCAATGACCTTTACGATCCTTTATCTTTTAAAGGGCTACAACTAAGACTGAGAAAATAGATGTAATAACAACAAAAATTTGGGAATCTCAAATATAAAGAAATATTATTTTTATTTATTTTAAGAAGTTTTATCAAGATTAAAAATATCATTTTTATGTTAGTTATTAACATTACATTAATGTTCTTTTATTAACTTGCTCCTATAGTAGAAAGTTGCATTCAATAAAATCTACATATGATTTATTATTATTTTTATTCCTATAACTCTAATTAAAAGAGAAAAGGAAAATTAGACAGGTCCCTGTTTGTTAA